AAAACCGACTCATTTCTGAAGCGGATGACTGGCGGTGTCTGTTGATGAAAAATGGATCACTTTCAGCAACTTCAAACGAAAAAGTCTCCAAGCCGGGATTGATGACAAGGAAGGTTTTGCTATGTGTTTGGTGGGTTTGCCAGAGAATTATGCACTATGAACAGCCTTCGTAGAGCCAAACTCTTAAGGCGGACCACTACTGTCAATCAATTGGAGCGTCTTAAGCAGGCAATTACCCAGAAGCGCACTGCTTTGTTCAAATATGAGGGGAATTATATTTCATTAGGACAACACCAGACCACACACACATCAGTATTAACTCACCAGAAGCGTCAAGAGCTTAGTTGGAAGGTTCTTATGTATCCACTTTATAGTTCCAACCTCGCACCAAGGGATTTCCGATTATTTCTGTCTAAGCAGAATGATTCCGCTGGTGAAGAATTGGTCTCAAAAGAAGCCTGCGAATGAATCGATTGTAGCAATTTTTGGCCAATAATTACTAGCGGCTCTATGAGAGTGGCATAAACTGATAAAGTGAAATAATAAAAAATTTTATAAAAATGGAAAAAATATTTTCCTGCTAAAAACTCGCTGCTGTGTCAATTGTTTTTTTATATTTTTTTTAAGAATCACCACGGAAACAGCTGTCACTTCCACGCTTCTTCCATTTTTCTTTGTTGTAACGCAAAAATATAGAAAAAATTCATATTAAAAACTCAGGCTTTCATCAGCTCACTAAAAACTTATAACTAAAAAAATATTGTTTAAAAAATTCTAAATTTTTTGTAATCACTTTCGCTATTTTTTTAAGCAAAAATTATAATAAATTTTGATAAAGTTGAAAATAAAAAATTATTATACTATTGTTTTTCCTTTATCCAGCTTCTAACAAAAAAAAATCCAATATTGAGGAGAGAAGTTATAGAATTTAATAAAAACTTAGTAAAGAAATAAAATCTTAAAATTAAAAAAATAAGAATTTAAAAAATACTTTATTGTTTCTTAGTATCAATATTTTTCATTTTTTATTTAAGAAAAATATTAAATATTTTTCCTCTAGAAATAAATTATTGTCAATAAAAAAATATATTTGTCTGAAAACTTGAACCTCGGACGTGGTTTTGTCTGAGAAGTCGAAAAAAAAACTTAATTAAATAAAAATAAAAAATGCTATAAATTAAAAAAAAAAATTTCAAAAAATCTTAATTTACTGTTAGCCGCTTTCTTCTTTTTTAATAAAAATATTCTTTTTTTTTTTAAGAAAATTAATTAAAAAAAATGTTTGATGCCACATTTAAAAAATTAAATATTCATTAATCATTTTAAAATTTATTTTTTTCTTAAAATATTTTTTATTATTTGTCTTGAAAATTTTTTTTTTAATATTTTTTATTATTTATTTTTATATATTTTTTTTAATTTTTTTAACAATTTTTTTTTTAATTGTTTTTATATATTTTTTCAAAAAAAAAAAAATTTTTGCATTTTGTCCTCTTTAATTATTATTATTTTTTTCGCAAATGTATGTATGTATATCAGAAAAAAATATGCAAAAGATTATTATAATGTGCATTAAAATAAAAAAAAAAAAATTATTAAATAAATAATCGTCTAAATTACAAGATTTAGTTAGACGCAAAAAATTACACTAAAAAAGAAACAATTAAATTTTTCCATTTTGCCACATTACATTGCCTGCCCAGAAAAAAGGGTTGCATTAAAACAATAATTGCGCAATTAAAGCATAAATTCAATTCAATTAAATTGCATTTAATAAACGATCATTAACTAAAAAGAAAGAGAAAAACACGAATATTTAAAAATCTTATAAAAAAAAGTGCAGGCCAAACTGGGAAAATTGAAAAAGAAATTCAAATTTGATGGAGAAAAGACATTGAAAGACAAGCTTTGAGACTTTGAAACTCTTACTTTCTCAAATGACTCAAGCGATTTTGGCATCGATTTGGCTGCCATCAATGATGTCTGTCATACACACACACACACACACACACGCACAACAAAACTGGCAGAAAGCGAAAACGGCTACGGCAACATGAAGCGGCAGCAGAGCAGCCGCAACGTCAACGGCAAGTGTCATTGACGCGCTGCCCCCCGCCGAATGGCAGCATTAAACAGCTGTTATGGCGAGTTTAAACGATTTTTTCTTTTCATTTACCAGTGAATGCGCCAAATGAAGAAGACACTGTCGGCAAGCAGCTACTGTGGTGGTAATGAAAAAAAAAAAAACAAAAACAAATTGGAAAATCACTTGTTGCAGGTTAAGTGTCAACGGCCGCAACCTGCATCCAAAGTCCATTGTACATACATAGGTGCATGTGAAAATCAATTACGCTTTGCCGCATTGCCTACCTGCGGTGCATGCTGTGCCGCTTCGTTTGTAGAAACCATTAAATTTTTTTTTTTCAAAAATGACCACAAAATCCAACGAATCTTAGACTTCACTCTGCCTTCCGTCTACTGCGAAAAGATAGATCAACTTTTTACACCCTGCTTAAAGCTTAAAAGTCGCCAGCGCTGGTTTCTTAGCAAAAATGTCTTAACTCTTCGACCTACATTGCTAATAACGCCAAGAAGGTGGTGTGCAGCAGGTGGAATGTTCTAAAGGTGGAGGTGGAATGTTCCGGTACCTATCTTCTACAACGAGCTTTCTCCAACTCAGAGTTTGATTTCATAGGTAAATCTTTGACCATTTTCATTTCCTCTGCACGGATGACAACTAGAGAAATGATCAGTGAATTTTACGTTATCATAGGAAAGCCCCTAACAGCCCCGTAAGTGAGCTGAGATGATACGGCTTGATCAACTTTCATAATCCTTAGTTTTCAAGGCGTCTGCCCAAAGTAAAGCGGTATTACTGAGGAGCTTTGTCCTACTCATTTTTCTTCTTCTTGTTTTTGCTACACCCCGTTTAGGTGCAGACAAAATTAGTCTGGGTCGTCGAGGTCACTAGCGAGTGGTACAGGAAACGATTAATTTTGACGGACTCGGGCTCTGACTCAGACCGGAGTGAAAGAAATGTGAAATACGATGATTTTAAAGAGCTCGCAACGAGATGGTTAGTGTCATGTAGCGGGGGCTCATTACATGCGGAATATATGTTGAGTGTGCCCGGATCCAGTCTGTATATGGGTAGCTTAAGTCGACTCTAATAACCAGATTTTAATTGCGCCAGTATTACTCGGATCTGGCGAGCCTATAAAGATGTTGACTGAATCGATGTTTTGGCCGTTCGGCATCAATTGAAGACACCAAGTGAAGCCAAATTCTTCTCCGCTTGATCCCTTGAACAGAGTGGAAATCCTCCGCTTTCCCTACTTATAGCTCTCTATGTAGCTTCTTCTAATCTATCTAATTTCTTGTAGTGTGGTTCTACCAGAATTTGAACTGTCAGGACCACTAGAGCCGCAGAGACGTTCCCCGTTCTTAGAGGGTGTACGCCTTTTCAGACCTTTCCCACCTATATGTTTGCTAATGCTGGATATTCCTTAAGATGATGCCCACTTTCAGAGGGAATACTCATGTACCAGACAATAGTAATCCAAAGCTGAAAGAGTTGTGTACCACCGTAACCTTAACTGCTCCCCGAGCATTTGCGGGGTTTCGCTCTGTCTGTTTGAATTTTGATCAACTAAAGGTGTTGTCCTACCTCACCATCAGTTTCATGGAGAGCTCTCCCTACCCAGAGAGTATACTCGCGTATCTTGCGGTCCTCTCCGCTCTAATCTGAACAAATATTTCTTTGAATTTACCACAAGCTGTGGTGAGTTCCACTGCAATATTGCTTGTTCCCTAATTTCAGAAGGGCTGTCGTCCTTTTCAGTTAGGATAGTGATGTGTCATGCCATCTCTTTTGCTCCATCCCTTTGCAGTTTGTTTAGAAAAGTCGAGCTGTCTCTCCGAGCATTTCATAGTGGCTTGCAAGCTACAAAAGAACTTTGGATACGTTCTTTAATTGGCAAAATCAGCTTGTCGATACTGGCCTCACGAGCTTGTCTACTTTAAAGCTATGCTCCATATCCCTGCGGTCGAGAAGGTAATTGGGACACTAGCATGGCAGGAACTTAGAGTTCATTGGATGGAGCAACAGTATTTTACTGCTTTACGCTGTCATTGTAGCTAAAAAAAAAATATTTTCCTGAGAGTGAAACACCGCTTCTATCAGTGCCTAGAGGAAGATATCAAAACCCTCACATTGATCACGCAGATACCCCGTCTCGCCTCGTCTCCTTCGACCCCAGAGCCGCCTGTGCAGATTTCAATACTGCCGCGTGTTGTGTTATACTTTTCCAGTTAATAACGGCCTGCTGGGGTTCAACGTCCTAAAGTTGGCGGCACTAAAAGACGCTGAAAAACTCCGTTCTTCGCTGTGCTGTGGCTTCAGGTGAATGTTATCTACATTTATAAACTTTCTAAATGTCGCTAAAGGGTTCGCAGCTGGTTATCACGCCCGCTTGAGTCATTATTTCCACTGAACCAGTAATTCCAAAGCAATTTATATGCGGCTACCAGCAACAACAACTAGAAACTTTCTTCAATGCGCACTTGTGAGCGGCATTCGCGCTAAAAATAGTACCAAAACAACAGTAATTTTTTTTTTCTCTTTTTTTTTAAATGTGACTTTTTTATCTGCAAGCATTTTTCTACAGGTTAGCATGTTGCCATCCCCTCGCCGTAAGAAATCGCTCTGCTGCCTCACTTGAGGCTCGTGCTGACATTGCCGACAACAAATACCGCTATTGAAAAATTACTTAATGCCACAAACAAAAAACACAAACAAACAACTCAGCCGATCTTGAGTAGGAGAAGTAGTTACAGCAGGCATGCATACATGTGGCATGCAACAAGCGCTGTTGCAAGCAATGCATCTTGAATATTTTCGCAAAATTATTTAAAAGTTTTCATTATTTTTTAAATTTTTTTTCTCATTTTTATTAAGTTTATTTTAATCTATTTCTTCTATTTTTAAATTTTTATTTCAGTAAAACCAATGCTTTGCACATCAAACTGTTGATGGTGTTGCTGTATTCATAACAACTGTTCTGGTTCAACTCTTGTGCCAGTGCTGCCAAATCAACGGTGAGTTAATTATTTTTGTTTAAATCTTTTAGCGAGAGTTGCGAAAGAGTGTGGGGAATATTAAAGAAAATTCCATTATTTTATTGTTGTTGTTATTAATATAAAAATGAAGCAAAATAGACAAACCAAAATATATAAAATAGCGAAAAATTACTAAAGAGACGTGTGACAACTGTGTCAGTGTGTTACAAGAAAAAAAATTTAAAAAAGACAATAAAATTAATGAAAAAAAAATTTAAAGCAAATTCACCCAAATAAAAATAAAAAATAAATTAAAAAAAAAAATAATAAAAAAATTTAAAAATAAACCCACAAAAAAGTAAAATCGAAAACCCAGCCAACGGCTGCTGCAAGCGTCTTCAGTTTACTATGCTATCAATCAAGTTTAGACAATACATACATACATACTCGTGATATACAATATATGAAGCCATCAGTTTCAGTTGCAGCAACTTCAAAAAATAGTCAATATTGCCAACAATGCCGTTGGCAAAGCGTAAAAATGAAGAAAAAATAAATAAAGAAAATATGCACACATACAAACAAACATAAATATATTAATTCATTTACACGCTTGAACAATCACACTCCTCCTCCATTGGTATGCTGTTCTTCTGTTTTGTTATCTCAATCGACGGCAATGTTAAAAAGGACAACAAAAAAAAAGCCCAAACAAATGAGGCAAAAAATAATAAAAATTTCTCGCAAAAAATAAATAGCGAAATGAAATTGATTTATTGATATCAGCAAGCAAAAAAGCAATTTTCATAAACAAAAAACATTAACTACAACAACATCAACACACACAAAATCATTGTCCAACCAGCCAACAATTAAGGCAAGCCACTGTCGCGCGCTTGTCATGTGCGCTTATAGTAAATTACCGTTAAAAATCTTTGCTGAGTGTCAAAATTGTATATTTTCGGTTTTTTTTTAATTATAATTTATGCAATGCATCTGCATATCTAGTTTTTGGTGAATGCAAATACAAATATATATTTATTTCCTTCTTTCATTTTTATTTTTTACTTTTGTGCATTGAAAATAAATTTTTTAATTTATTTAAATACTAGTTAATCGACTAATTAATGTCAAAAATACTGATAAGCAGCATGCATTAATCAAAATTGAAAAGAAAGAAGAAGAGAGCTAGAGAAGATACTGAACGAATTCGTTACTAAGGTTTCGAAAATTTTCTTAAAATAAAATCTGAATACCAAAATTTTTAAATTGCCTTTTCAATAAAAAAAAATTATATATACTCGTATTCCTCAGAGTTTTTTGAGAAATTTCGAACATTTTTCGTTGTATATGGTTTGAAATAACATAATTTTTAGTTTATTTTAATTAAGAAATCACAATAAAAAGTTTTTAACGTATATTTTTAATAAAAATGTATATTTATTTTGTTCTTTCGGTCATTTTTCTTGCACTAAAATTAAAAAAAAATTTTTTTTTTCTTTTTTTCTTCAGTTTTTATTTTTTATTTTCTTTGAATAATATTTTAATAATAAATTTATATTTTAATTCGGGAAAGTTAGCAATTTTTGATAACTTATCTTAAATTTAAAAATTATTTTTTAATTTCCACGAAATATTTTTTTAGGTAAAATATTATAAATATTGGATAAGTGCATAAGTTTGTGCCCGATTTCAAGTGCAAACTAAAATTGAAATTTTTTGAAGAAAGCGCTTTTATTAATCAATTATATATTCNAGCGGAATCGGGCACGAACTTATGCACTCATCCAATATATAAAAAAGTGTCGATCAAAGCTTGCGGGAAACATTTCATTAAATAAAATCTATAAACTAAATTTTAAATTAAAAATTATTTTTTAATTAATTTTTATAATTATTAATTTTTAAATAAAAAAATATGTTTCTTTTTTTAATTTGCGAAAAATTTTTGTGAAAAATATCTAATAAACAATCAATATTTTAATATAGTTTTTCCAAAATATTTCATTTAATAAATTGGTAAAACTAAATATTTTTATTATATTTTTTCACTTAAAAAATATAAGTTTAGTGTGTTTTTTTAAGAATTTTACTACATATTTTTGCCATCAAGAAATATAAAAAACGATATTGTTTTCCGTTCTTCAATGAGTTTTTAAGTTTCGATTTCTTTCAATTTTTTTAAGAAAAATAAGACCGCAAATTAAAGTTTTTTGCGGGATAATTTAAAATTTGTTTGGCTTCATATACAAGTTTTAAATTTTTTACTAGCGTATATTAAAAGAAATGTGTGTTTAAAAATATTTTTTTAATATAAAAATTTCATATTTCCTAGGGTTTTTATTCGTTTACTAAACCAGTTTCACATTTCGAACTTATTTTTTGTAAAAAAAAATTATTCTGAAAGCCACTGCTTTGCCTCGCCCGACGAAAGGAATAACAAAGTTTAACTAATTTCTGCCGTTCAATGCCACATTTTAGATCTCCATTGCCATTAAGGAAATTCATAATAAAATACCTGCAGTAAATACATATATACATATGTATGTATATGGCTTTCTTTATCTGCGTCAACGCAACGCTGCGTATGGATAACGCTTTTATATTTTAATGACTATGAATTTCTTTTATAAACCGATTTTTTTTCATACATTTTTTATTATTATTTTTAATATTAATTTTTTCTTAGTTTTCGAATTTTTTACATTTTATTTTATTTTTAATTTGCTTTAATTTAATTTTTTTAATTTTATTAAGTAAACTACGAGGCCTGGTTGTTTGTATGAATTGAATATTTTACTAAACTATGAAACTAAATTTTTTTTATTTGTTGTATATTTCATATTTTGTTTTTTTTTTCGATTTTACAACATTTTTTTTATTGATTTTAATTTTTTTTTAATTCCGAAATTAAAAATTTCTTATTTTTTTATTATTTTTTTTTTTACTTTGGAACTCTTGTATATTTCATATTTTTGATTTCTGTTTTTTTTTTAGACTTTGCCTAATTTTCATACATTTTTATTTATTTGTAAATGTTTTTCTTACTTTTCATTTATTTCTTATTTATTTTTTAATTTTTTTAATATGTTTATTTGTTATCTTTTTTTTCATATTTGTAAGTTTTCTCATTGTTTTTCATATTATTAACTCGTATTTGTTTTATTTTTTTATTGAATTTTTGTATTTTGCCGCTTATTTATTGTTTTTATTAAATTTTTATTTTCATTTATTTTTTTTTTCAGTATTAATATATATTTTTATTGATGTCTATTATTTTTATTAAATTTAATACTTTCTGATTTCTTTTTATTTTCATACTTTCATTTTTATATTTAATTTTTAATTGTTTTTTTTTTATTACCGTTATTTCCTATTTTATATTTAGTTTTCACAAATTTTATTTATTTTTTTCGCATTTTTTTATTTTCATTTTTTTTGTAATTTTTTTTTTTTTGTTTTTCATTTTTGTCATATTTCTTTTAATTTTCGTTTTTTCACTTTTTTACTAAAAAAAACTAATTTTAACTCAATCGCTGTTAGTTGATGAATTAAAAAAACATTTCTTCACTTCCTGCTGCTTCCATTTTGTTAACTCATTGAGAGCAACTCACCGCGGTTTCTTCGTTTGTATGTATGTAGCAATAAGCTGTTGAGTGGCGAGTTAACTGAAGCATGAACATACGTACATACATATATGTGTACTTACTTGCAGATATGTTAATATTTTTGGTAAGACTTGCACATATGTGTGTATGTAATAGGTGCATAGTGCATATACATAAACACATACATACGTACAAATACATATACATACTTAACTACTAGAAGACCGACCGCCTCTCTAAGAAACCAACGGATTTCCGCATTAAACTCAAGTAAATCGTGCATTTTTGGCTGATCTTACAGTATGTATATATGTATGTGCATACATATTTATATCTATATGTAATGCCTATACATATGTATGTCAGTAAATCTTACCACCCATAGCAGCATTGGGTATGTTAAATTTGTTAGTTTTATGGCTCAGCAACTGCGCAGGGTCACCAGCTGAGCAAAACGACTGGAGCACACACATTCAACAGTATGTATATGTGCATGTGTGTGTGCTTTGAAAATTGTAGAATGCAATAAGTAAACAAATTATTTATTATTTTAGAATATCGTGATATTGTAGTTGCAAGTTTTGTTGTAAAAAAAAATCAATGCAAGAAATTTTAGTTTTTTGATCAAAAAAAAATTTTTAATAGAAAATATAAGTATTCCATACACGATTTCAATTAAAAAAATTTTTTTCCATTAATTAAGCTTCGCAAAGAAAAAAAATTAAAAACAAAATAATAAAAATATTCTTCTTCTCCTTTATTGGCGTTGGCATCGCTTACGCAGTCATGTACAAATTAAGGAAGGAAGAGCGCCGCTCTGTTGGAAGGACCAGGTTGAGAAGGACCTGGCAGTACTTGGTGTCTCCAATTGGCATCAAGCAGCGAAAGGAAGTATTGAATGGCGGTGTCTATGCCAGTAAAGAAGAAGAAGAAAGTATTTTTTTTTTGATTGATCAAATGATTTAAATTTAAAGATTTTTACTCAGAAAAATTTTTTATTTCAAATTTTTAATTAATTATACAATATATTTTTGATAATTCATTATAGTATACATATATGTATATATGTATATTATCTCTTTAAAAAAATTGCAAATGTCTTTAAAATAACTTCCTTTAAATATACATTTGTATGTATGTATATATGTATATCTTGCAATATAAATGTTTGAACTTGCATACAATTTTCATAGAAGGAATTAATTAAAATTTAATTACTGCCAATTTTTCAACGGCTCTTACACAATCTTAAGCACAATACATGCATATATGCATACATACACGTATATACATATGTATTTAATATTGTTTTGAAATTTTATGTCTTAACAGCATTTTGTTCCATACAACAATTGCCAATCATACAAAGATTTTTTATGACATATTTTAGAATTTATTACTATTATTAAGTGCAGACAAGCACATGCATAT